ATAATATCAATTATTAGCAAATAGTTTAATCTTTTCCAATGACAATGCAATATAACTGTTTTATAATTCTTGGAAAAGATAAAATATGACATTAAATTTATATTACTAGGAATTCTAATAAATTACAATTTTTTTATATATTATTATTAATAATATTAATTATAACGTTAATGATGTTATTTTATGTTACGGTAGACATATAATAGAGACACTAATACAAACCCTTTTTTTCCGTGGAAAAAAGTATGCGTCAGTAAATAATAGATTCGCTACCAGGAACTAATCGATACAATTATAACGTTTCCTCTCTCCTTTTTTTTTTTCAACCGTGTAATAAACGAGTAGTTGGACATTAGCGTGGCCATATGGAGACAGAAATTACATCTTTTTGGACCCCTCGTTTAATGTGACCCCTCGCAATGCTATTAGTCTCTATTGACTTTATTATTATACGTTGAAAATTCGTTTGACTTTGCGCTCAAAGCATCAGTACACAAACATTCACTTCTTACAATATTTACATTGTAAGTCTAGTATTTTGAATATGGTCCAAAATTTACGAAAAGCGATACACAAGCATTCGTCGTGACACACATCTCAGATTTGTCTCGCACGCAGTCTTCGCTAACATTCGTAGATTGGCTCGTCTAGCTTCCTTCTCATATTTTGAGTTTCTACTACAATTCCGAGCTAATATTAAGTTTCTAGGTGATATTTTGAGACCCCGACTGAATAATCATGTCGCGTGAAATTAAATCGCAACTCTGGCAGTTTCATTTCTTGAACCACATCGTATTTCTTTAACCACAAGTGCAATATTTGACATTTCTAATAATAATATGATAATCAATGAGCAGTAAAAAAAATACAATTTTATTACTAATAAGAGAATTTAAATGTGTGCAAATACGATTATTTATATATATATCGAGAATTATCCTTCATTATTGCAGGTGAGATTTTTATCTCGTAAAAGGATGCTCGCGTTGCGAAAACGGCTACGCTAAATACGGATGCGCGGCGAGGGATGTTAAAAAATTAAAGATCCCACAAAAAGCGAAGAACTTGGCAATGAAATCGTATTGATTGTCATGCTGACGTGAGGAAGAGTGCGCCAAGAGCGCGAAGAAAAATGTTAGGCGCGACGGACGCGGAACAAGGTGCGAACAACGGCGTGATAGTGTCGCAACTCGCGAATTCGCACACGCCTCAGGACTTCACGGTCTCACGCCTGCTGTCCACGCCAACGCACTCCTTGGGTGAGAAAATATTTTTGTATCGTTATAAAAATACATGTGTGCGCATTATTTAATTATCTTACGCTTTTATCTTATCTAACCAATCATATTATCTAATTATACATCTTTTTTATGTTTACAAAGAAGCCTGCTAAATTTCCTAATCAAGGATTCTTGAAATTAATTTAAAATTCCAAGAATTCCAAGTAATAAGCCGGAAACCTTTCATACTCTATCGTTAATTAGGTCGAAAATAAAAGCTGTTTAACAGAATTACTGTTGAGAGAAAACCGACGCTAAATTTTAAGTGCTAAAAGTATCTTACAAGCCAAGCATTCCTTTAAATTATAGCTAAACTATTATAAAATTACAATTACAATGAAATCTAATGAAATGTATATATAATATGTACCATTTTTCTAATTACAGATTCTTTAGTTACTCTTGTATATTTTGTAATAATTGTTTTTTGAGCTCTTCTATTGCAATATAATTTTTTTTTCACTTTCCTATATCTTATTATAACTTATAAAAAATTTTTTACAATGTAATATTACAATTTTAATGAAGTTTTATCATAATCCATATGATATGGAAAATCCATTGCTAGAGCTATAAATGATATCATCACGTTTCTACACGTTGAATCCACGGCTCATGACGTACTTGATTTCATCGAAATCGTGCATTTCCAGTCATGCTGCTTGCATTATACCGCTTTGATGAATGCCCAAGCATAGTGGAGTCATTCAAAGAATGACTGCGGCTGTAGCAGGCCCGCGTATTCCTTTTTCTCCTTTTTTTCTCGTTTTTTTTCGGTGGAGACCGCCGGTATCGCGAGCGGCATCTTCGAGAATGCGCATTTCGGTGTGTGGTAGATCGTCGAGAAATAATTTCGCATTCTTTTCGCAAAGTAACGTTTTTACACGCGCGCGAAAGGTTACTTTAGATGGATGCACGATCATTCTGCGAAATGATATTTCGATTACTCTTGTTGAAATAACAGCTTGGTTTTAAGACTTTCTACTGAACGTAACTGACAAGTTACAAATTTTTTAAGTAATCTCGAAAATTTTAGAAAATGATACAGTTACGTCTAATGTATGTAATAACATAAAAGCGTAACTTAATAACACAGTAAAATTGCGCGAAATAAAAAAATAGATATTTAAATAACATATAATTAAAAATGTGTAATTTTTTGAAGAAAATATCTGGAAGAAGAATCTTATAATAATCTCGAAAGCACGATTAACAGCAAAATGCCAAGAATTATTATTATTTCAGTGCGTTTTACAGATTGCAGCGAGACCTCTTCCACCGCTGGAAACAGAAGACCCAGGAGAAGCAGGACGACTTTTTCTGCGCAACAGTTGGCCGCGTTGGAGAGGGTGTTCGAGAAGACGCATTATCCGGACGCCTTCGTTCGCGAGGAACTGGCGACCAGAGTGTCTTTATCAGAAGCCAGAGTGCAGGTATGATGCAATCTATCAGATATTTTAATAGAATAAACAGGAGCAAATATAGCGAGCAAAAACTTTGTTTGGTAAATTTATTTATAGCTGTCTCAAAAGTTTACCAGATCTACAAGTAGAAACTTTAGAAACTTGAAAGATAATTAATTCTGCTTGTTTACTTAGCATCTGTATTTAAATTAACTCAATCTAGCTCTTGTTACTTCTTATATATTTAATCCCCCTAATGATAGAAAGTGAGTCGTATAAGAAATATTTATTGCTCGAGCTGGTCTTTAGATTAATTTTATTTAGCGACAATGGAAAAACACTTATTGTTGGTTGATTGCGATATAATCAGGGAATCACTTTTTTAAATCAAGATTGAGTTAAATATAGATTCTAAGTAAACAAGCAGAATCAATTATCTTTCAAGTTTCTAAAGTTTCTAAAACTTGTGTAGATCTGTTGAACTTTTGCGACAGCTATAAATAAATTAGGTATCTAGTGCATTGACAAATTTCCTTTGCGTGCAATCTTACGTGGTCGATAAATATGCAAATGCAACATTTCGCTACTTTTTATTTATTCGCCTTAAATGTCTAAAAACAAATGGCACGAATGCAATTATTTTGAGCAATATATAATTCAATTAGAACGAGTACTAAATTAATATATAAAAATAAAGAGTCAGAGATGAGGGTACATCGAGAGATTATCATTCTCGATGACGTTCCACTCCGCACGAGGATGATGGAACGTGGCGGAACGATAAACTGCCGCCCCGAGACACACACACCGATCAAGTAACCAACCAACCGAGCGGCCGAACCGACCCGCAGAACAAGCGGGGACCGCTCTTTGAAGCCGTCTTCCAACTCGGTAACTGAGAAGACTAGCCGTCCGAGAAAGTATCACGACGCGCACATGTGTTCTCGCACCGAACGCAACGTCGTTCATAATACAAGGAAAAGAAAGATGAAGGGGAAAAAGAGGAGGAGGAGGAGGAGGAGGAGGACGAGGAAGGTGGAGGTCGCGGACAGCTAGGCAGAAAATCGGAGGAGACAGGTTGTCAGGGCAGAGAGAGCTATGATTAGCCGGACGGCGACGCGCGCTCCAGCATCTGCCGCGCTCTCCGGCTTCGAGCACGTGTGCGCGACGCGTCGCCGTCGCCGTCGCAGCGGTACGCATGCCGCGTACACGCGTCTGTCTGTCCGTCCGTCTGTCTGCGGCGTCGGTACGCCTGCCAGGAGCCGTCACGCTGTCCCGTCTTCGGCCGGCGCGTCGCGTCGCGTCCTTCCGTCTCCCGGCCGCTCCCCCTCTTGGCTTTACCGAACGCGCTGTGACACGACCGCGGCGTGTAGGTTTTCAGAATAACGTAAGACCGGGAGCATTGATAGCCAAGTACACGTTGAATTCGGAAACCTTTCTTCGAAAAAGATAGTTTTGAAGTTAGAAAAAAGAAGCGTGTCCTCTTTCAATCGAATTTATTGATCTTTATGGTTTAGCTTTAAAATTATGTCAGATGAAGAATATTTTCGTTCATGGATTTTTCGTTAAAGATATATTTATTTTTTGTACTCTAGTTTTCAATTCGTAGAATTCATTTGAGAGACGAAAGTGCTCCTTTGAGAGGTTGAAAGAAACTCGATGCACAAGTTCGTAAATATACGTTTACGTTACGGTTGTGTGTGCGCGTTACGATTAAAACTGAAACTAAAAATCACTCGACAGATGAATAAACTATCGTTCTAAAAATGCTGAAACATACAGCTTCTAGATATTTGAAGAAATATAAGATGAAGCATTGATTTTTCATTGAAGAAAATACTGCTGGAAGAAGCCATGTATTTGGAATTAAATTTATTAATGCTAGTGCATAAAAATAGTTTTATAGCTAATTAATAAGAAAAAATCATTGGTCGCACAAATATATCAATTTTTTATAAAAGAAAATATATCAAGAGAATTCTAATCTTTATTTTTTTTTCGTTAAAAACATTTTTATTATTACATTTTTTATATAAAAAGTATAAAATTGTCAATGCATATTAGCTTCAATCTTCTTTTTATTACTAAATATTTCTTTTTTTTTTTTTTAATTATTATACACAAAAAATGATTCTATTTGTACGTAGAAAGTTTGTTTCGTCAATTCTTATTTTCATCAACTCCAAAATATTTCAATCTTAAAAAAGATGGAAACAGCACTGATAGCAAAGCCTTTCCTTCGCAGGTGTGGTTCCAAAACAGGCGGGCGAAATTTCGACGGAACGAGCGGAGTTCGGCGATGAACCGCGGCGTTTCCACGAACAGAGAAATGGAAACGGCGCTACCCCTGCGCCCTATCAGGGTGCCGCATCCTTCGCAGCATGCGGAGAGCAACGCGGAATCGGCGCAGAATACACCTGCTACTCAGGTGACGGCCCAGTACTCTTACGGCGATTACTGGAGAACGACGCCGCAGCATTACGCGGCGGTGCAAACCGCCGCAACTGCCAGCTGTCACGGCTTCGCCGCGAACGGCGGCCTCGCTAATGTCGGTCTATCACCTTATCACCATCATCAGACCGATATCCATCACGGGCCCCTCGATGGAACCACCATGAACAGCCTGAACGCCCTGAGACTGCGAGCACATCCCTACGGCTCGACGTACCCAGCGATGCACGCGAGTATGTGATATTATTCCTGGAAATCAGACTTTTGGAATGAGAGTGATGTGCCTCAAAAGCCCTAATTCTTGAAAAAAGTCAAAATTAAGCATCCTGATTGAAGTCGGAAGACATACGGTAAATAAGTCATAACTCGAGACTCGTGTAAGTCTCGTGTTATTTTTTAAGAAAATATTTACAATTTTTTTAAATTTACATTTATCATTATTTGGTGAAAGATATAAAAAATCGCACCAAAGTTTTAATCGATACTGTTCTTAATCTCTATTTGCACAATTGCAGTGTGATGAACTTTTGAGATCTCAAAACACTTTCATCCAACTCTAAAAAAAAATAGGTCTTCTCGAATTATGATACAAATAATTTTCTTTTTTACGGAACAGCCTTATTTAAATTGTTTTATTCTCGTTCTGAAAATGCGATATGGGCAAATCGTATATCATGCATTTCGTAAAATCGATTGCGCGCTTCGCTCAAGTCACTGAAACCAAAGATAAGCTTGTAAATTCATGCGAAAGATCGAAGACGATCATCTTCTACTGTGTTAACAAAATTTCGGGATATATGTGCAAAATGATAATGATATCTGACAAATCATTACTGTTGACATATAAACGTAAAAATTGATCGTGTGCCTTAACCAATGATAATCATTAACTGAATAGATTAGGTTTAAATTCTAAGTTTTGAATACAGGGTAACAAGTAAATAAGTCATAGTGCTTCTTTTTCCCGTCGATAGATTAGCACATTAAATTATGGGGAAGTATATATTAGAACATCATAATATTTTAAACGTATACAGAAAACGTTATTCTACAAAGTTGCCTTACACAAATACATATATATATAGACGGTATAGATAAAACTAGTGTCGTGCAATAAAAACATTGAGATCGGAAAATGTTTCCGGGTATGTTTTGTCATCGATATATGTATATATAATAAGAAAAGTACAACATACAGATGTACGTAACAAATACATGTATATATGTACACATATCGAAATATAATATTGGCACAGAATTAGAATATAGTCAACCAGCATAAATATTGGTCTGTATCTTATCTCACTCATATAATAAGATGTGTTGTTCTCAATCCTCAACAGATATTTTATATCAAGATCTTTTAAGTACAATGACGTAAAATTTTTTGTGCAATTAACGATAAAATGTTAAATATAAGTCTTTCAAGATATAAAGCGTATGATTGAATTTATTTCCTTAATCACTGCTGAATTCGGACTTTGATCATTTTTAGAATAATATAAATCCATAATACCAAAAACTTATATCTGTTAAGGATCGAATATTAATCAACATCTACATCAATTATCTTAGACCATAATGTTATAATTTAACAAGACAACCATTCAAAAAATGCTAGACATTTACAAAGCGCCCAAAAAATGGTGGCTTTATTAGACGCTTTATCTTCATGATGTCTTTCAGCGGTTTGTGTAGCCTTGATAGATATGAAGGACGATAAACTTGCAAAACTTCATAAGCCAATATAAAATTCAAGACTTCCGTCCGTCAAATCGGTTTATCCAAGGTTTACTTTGGTGCGTCCAGCGTATATTATTTTACGCTTCAATATTATACTGTTACTTGTACGTTTTGTACAACGTTGCTCCAGTCGAGCTTGGAGGGTACCAGGTAGAAGGCCGGTGCGATCTTGCTGCCGCAGGGACATTGGCTGCCGGAGATCCAGCTGTAGGAGCCGAGCTTTGTTTTGCATTTAGGACAATTCAATTTACCTTCGACACTGTGCATGATGTCGGGCATCCAAGCCAACGGTTCCACGAAGTAAATCTTGTCGCAAAGTTCAAGCCGCGGCTCCTCCCTCTTTTGAACCAATTTATCGCAGTTTTCAGCATCTTTTGAGGTACTCTTGGTGCTGATATGTCGCCAAATCTGCTTCTCACGTGGTGCGTGGGGTAGAATATTGCTAGCGCTTGCCACGATGCGGCGACACCTCTTGCAACGATAAACCGTCGGTTCGGGACGCACAGTCGTTAGTGCGGGATCAGGTTTTATTAAGTCGACGCAGCTCTGAGGAAGAATGCGAGCCTTGCGTACCTTATCAGCGGCAATCTGCAGCCGATACATTTTAAACTGGACACTGGTGCTGTCGACACCGTACCCCATGTCCTCATAAAGCCGCAACTGTGCTACAAAGCCGGGATTTGGCGCGACAAAACGTCGCTTTGACTTCACCACTTGCAACGCGTCTACAAAGCTCAATTGGTGCTTCTTCATGGCAAACGCGATCACCACAGTGGCAGATCGTGACACACCGAAGTAACAGTGTATCAGCACCCTGCCATTGGATTGGAGAGCACGATCAATAAACTCGTAAGAATCTTCAAAATGCGTAAGGAGATCCTCTCGTGGCATATCTGTCACCTGAATATACTTGGTGATTAAATTAGGGAGACGTTCCTGGATCTGCCTCGGTAATGGGCAGGAATCTATCGTGAGTATATGAGTTATTTTGGCCTCCTTTAACCAATCAACATCTGCGGCAGCGGTAAGATTGCCCAAAAACAGGTCTGGCTCAATCTCGTCAAAACTGCACGGACCAGCATCAAAATCTTCTCTTGTTAACTTACTTATATTTTCGTGTGCCATATTCAGCACCCTGTAATCATGAGCAAAGCTACGGCAAGTATCCTTAAACCTAGATATACAGTCTTATAATTAAGATAATTGTATCTGCTTATTTATTTCATTTGCATTATTAAACACATAAAATAAATTGCAGATCAATTTATACCACATTGATAAATAATATTTATGATATTGATAACAATTAAAAAAGAAGCAAAATAGGAGTTTAAATATATTGATCTGTATTTTCATACATTTAGCACTAATTATAGCTGTTTAATCATCTTGTTATGTTCTTATAGAAAATAATCTTTATACAAGTACAAACTGAAATTAGAATCAAATATAATGTTATAAACATAGCATTAAAAAATACTGATCTTACACAGTTTGTATCACTGAAGACATATTTAAAACTCAAAATTGTATTTGTAAAATTTATCTATAATTAGTGCTGAAATGTGTAAGGACAATAAGGATGAATATATAATTGGCTATTTGTGCAATGCAGTAAACAAGGCACAAAAATCAATATGTAAAGTATAAAAACAAACTTGCCTGGACAAAGAAAGGGTTATCCTTTGCCGACAAAAACATACGACATGATATTAATGGCCATCAAATCTACAACGGAGACATGCCTTATAGAAAAATTTTTAACTCACTTGATGTGCTCGCAACTTTTATATAAATATTCCAAACGACAACGACATTCGCGCAATATTGTGCTGCTCTTTGACAAATATCAAAGAGAATTCGTCTCGAGTAAACCAGGAGAAAAGCTCATATTTTCGCAAGAATCGATGATGCCTAATCACGAAATATCACTGTCATTTAATATCATTGTTATCATTGTCAAATGTAAATAACAATTCCAAAACCAGTTACATTCCACAGAGAGCCGCGGCACATTACATCAGTTATACAGAGTGGCCGGAAAAACCAAGAAATATTAAAAAGTGTAGAGTTAACTTCTTTTTACTTAATTTATCTATTGGAGATTTTTATAAACACTTGATCCCCTTGTAAATCCTCGTAATTAAGAATCACAAGAAATGAAAAATTTACATCGCATCTCTTATTCACAACATAAACAAACACGTATTGTACGTGATAGCAGCGTTACCAATCAAGAATCGAGAAAGTACAGGTTGCAATGAATTTTTACTAAACAAAGTTGGTAATGTTGAGCATGTTGTACATTCGTCGAATAACAAATACCTAGGCCGGTATTCATAGTCCGTTCTTATATTCAAGATCGTCTTAAGTACAAACTTATATTCGCTCTCTTCGTTAGACACAATCTATGTGTGACGAAGAGAGCGAATATAAGTCCGTTCAGCAGAACAAATAACTTGGTAGCAATAGCTGTGATTGGCTGCTCAATGATGCACTTTCCGTTCCGCAGCTCTTTTTCGTATCATCTGATTTTATCCTTAGGCTGTATCCCCATGGAGAAAGAAATAGTGGAACAAAACAGTAACGGAACAGTAGTTGAAAAGAGATATATTTATCATATCTCTTTTCCTCTACTGTTCCGTTACTGTTCCGTTCCGCTATTTCTTTCTCCATAGGGATACAGCCTTACTCTACTTATGATAATAGTAAGGCACTAGATATGTAGGTATTCTCATCCGCCATTTTGGTTCCTACTAGATGGAGAATTATAGCGTATATAGTATAGTATAGCGTACATGTGTAACACGTCGATTATTAAAAATGATTTAGGACTTTTT